GGGTTTCTGTACTGATGTTCAGACTTTTAACATTTTTTTGCCATCTGATTGGTTTTGTGTGTGTGTGTGTGTGTGTGTGTGTGTGTGTGTGTGTGTGTGTGTGTGTGTTTTGTTTTGTTTTCTTTTTTGTTTTTGAGACAGAGTCTAACTTTCTTGAAAGTTTCTTCTATCTTAGCTAATTATCCCCACTATTGCTCTTATATTGTATTAATGTATTTTTCATTTCCAGAAGTATTATTTTATACATGCAATTTTATTTGTCCAGAGAATTTAAAAATACTCTTTTTTTGGCCTCTCTGCAGTCATTCATGTCTTTGCTAGTTTTCTTTTTCTCTTTGCTTGTTTCTCTGGTCTCTGACATAAAAAAATATTTTCAAGATATTTTCAAATGGCTGTTTCTGAGACACTAAAAGTTATTTGGAGTACAACTAAAGAGATATACTTATTGAATAATATCCATAGCTATAGAATGATATGGCAATACAACTGCCAGCATCAATTGCTTGTCAGGAGCCCTTTCTCCTAGGGTAGCTAAGTTCCACCAGAAATGTATTCATGTATGTACAGTGCAAAAGGTGTTTAGCTGTGACTTTCAGAGTGTTAGTGTTCACTAAGCCACATAACTATTTCCTTTACAGTCTGTCTCATCACATTCTAATGTTTATGGTTTGATATTGCTTGAAAATTACAAGATGATGCCTATATATTTGCTCTTGTAACTCTTGGAAACACTTCTATGCTGTTTTCTATCCTGCTTCTTCCCAGGTATAAAGGCAAGAAAAGAAATCCTTGATTGAAGAGCATGGATGAGAAAATCAGGACAGGAGGTTCACTGATGGTCCTAAAAGTTTAAATCTGCTCTCCTTTTCTCTTCTTCTTCTTCTTCTTCTTCTTCTTCTTCTTCTTCTTCTTCTTCTTCTTCTTCTTCTTCTTCTTCTTCTTCTTCTTCTTCTCCTCCTCCTCCTTCCTCCTCCTCCTCCTCCTCCTCCTCTTCCTCCTCCTCCTCCTCTTCCTACTTTTCATTTTAGTTCTTTGCCATCCTGCATTTTTGAAGTCCTTCCTGTCTAAAATTCACAAAAATTGCAGATCTTCATTTTTTTCTTCCTTCTGGTATTTTCTTCTTTGTCTTATGTTTTGCCATTTCTGTCTTAGTCAGTTCTCACATTCATTCCCAGGCCTCCTAGATGATGTTCTCCCCACATGTCTGTTGTTGATTTATTGTCCGTTCATTTTAAATTCCTGTGCACCAATGGTATCTTTCCTCATTATTCAGTTCAATTCATTGTTTTAGTGATATTTAAAGATGGAATGCAGATGACTGCTCAAGTTCCCTCCGTTGCACTTGCCAGGACATTCTGCCTTCTTTCAATAGGCAGGGAAGCCAGATCTCACATGAAACAGCACAGATGCTCCATTTGCAAACTGAACAAGTTTGTTTTCTAGTACAGTTTTTCTCTATAAAAAAACTGAAGATTTGGAGCATTTGAAGATTTCAAAGTCCTGTGAGATATCCAAAATCAACTCACAAAAAATATTTTTTGTTTGATCATTTGATCCAGGATACAAAAATGACTGTGAACTAAAAGACCATCTGTTTCATCTGAATTCATACTGAAAGATAAAAGATTCATTTCTGAATCATGCCTTAGCCTTTTCTCTAAATATTAGAAGAAATACAAGCTGTCTATAATGGATGATACCATTTACAAAAATATAAATTTATCATCTTCTTATTTATTTTAAACAAAATACTCAAGCAGTTACAAGGTCTTGATAAATATAGGACTCTGCTAAATAAAATTTGACACTATTAACATAATGTATTTTAATGGAGGAATTGGTTTGGTCTTAAAATATACAGTAGATCTGTATTGATGGAGGAATCTTCACAATAGACAGACTTCATTGTTATAAGCTTGCAAGACATTATATTGTTATCAAAAGTTCCTCCTCACAAGAAGGACTACAGTTTATTTTTTAATAATGTGGGAATATGTGAAGCCTTGGCTCTTATTCTTTGCGTAAAGGCTGGGCAAGACAATCCATTGTGAGGAACAGGTTACCAAAAGTCAGCTAAGCATTAGGGACAAGTTTTGATCCCACTGCTAGGAATCCCACAAACAGACCAAGCTACACAACTGTCACCCACATGTGGAGGACCTATATAAGTCCCATGCAGGCTCCCTAGCTGGCAGTCCAGAGTCTGTGAGCTCCCACTAGCTCAGGTCAGCTGTATCTGTGAGTCTGCCTTCATGATTTTGACCCCTTCTCCTGAGATGGATTCCTGGAGCTGAGCCCAGTGCTTGGCTGTGGATCTCTGCATCTGCTTCCATCAGTTACTGGATGAAGGCTCTCTGATTTTGACCTGCAAATCACCATGTAGGCCTTTCTGACCAATTAGCAAGGTCCCAGACATGCCTGTTTCCAGCTTCCTAGAACAAATATATATATATATATATATATATATATATATATATTTGTTCAAGGGTGTATTTGTAACACTTTAAATATATTCTTTATAATTTTAAAATTTACCCTCAGCTGGGCATTGGTGGCACACACCTTTAATCCCAGCACTCAGGAGGCAGAACCATGCGGATCTCTGTGAGTTAGAGGCCAGCCTGGTCCCCAGAGTGAGTGCCAGGATAGGCTCCAAAGCTACACAGAGAAACTCTGTCTCGAAACCCCCCAAAAATTTACCCTTTTTTCTTCCAACCATCCTCTCCCATGTATACCCTCAGCTTGTCCTCTTTCAAAATTTATAGCCATTAAAATATATGCATATATATTTTATATATACATTATATGTCCATAAATATATCTTTGAGGCATCTGTTATTTAATATATTAATATATAGCTTATATAAAACATTTAATAATATGAACCCACCATTAGGTTCAGTCTTATTCTTTCTTAAAATTTATTTAACTACTTTATGGGTGTGAACATTTGCCTGCATACACATTTGTAAATCACATGCATGTCTGGTGCCCATGGAGGCTAGACAACATTATTGATTTTACTGGAACTATAGTTATAGATCATTGTGAGCCACCATGTTGCTGCTGGGAATGGGACCTGGGTCATCTGGAAAAGCAGCCAGAGCTCTTAACTGCTGAGCTGTCTCTCCAGCTCCTCAGTCATGTCCTTATTAATGAGCATATAAGCTACTTTGCTGTTGTTGCTACAAGAGGTACCTTTGTATGTAGATTTTTACATATACATAATAAATATGTAATTTAGATTCCTAGAAATAAAATTACCAAATTGAGAACACATGAATCTTGTCATGTTTTAACGAACCATCTTGCTAATTATTAACAGCACCAACATATGCCAATTGAGTCAGTATTTGTCACCACTAAAGAGTATCAGCATTGTTAATTTCTATTTGTTATAAAAATTAGAGCCTGATGTATGTTAAGAACACCATTGGCTTGTTAAAGCGTATTTCTGCAAATGTCTGATTTGTTATTTTCATTTTCTTTCTGCATCAGTTATAATTTGAACTCAGCTGTCAAAAGTAATTTAGTAAATTAAGGATAAGAAGGAAAAATCTATTGCATTTACCTAATTTTTGCTGTTTTTTTCTTACTGGAATTTTATCATGTACAAATAGAAATCAAGGTCTTCTAACCAATATCCAAATTTGGGATATATAAGGCCAGAAGAAAATGTTAAGAATCATCCATGTTGCATTGTCCTCAGGTTTCAGAGCCCATAATGAAGTAGTCTGCTTCATCCACCTCTGAGTATTTCTTTTAGCTTGTTATATGTATTGTGTCCAGTTCTTTCAGTTATATTTAGGTGGAATAAAAATACTTGTCTGATGCAATTTCCCAGAAGTTAAATTCTTACTTTTCTGCTATTTATTTTGATAATTTCACGAAAGGTCTCAGAACCCCCTTATCCAGGACTGTGGTGACCATGAAACTTTTCTTCCATATAGAAATTGTCTTAACTAGAGATGAATCTTAGTACTTTCTTTGTTTCATGAGTATGACTGATTTACCAGTGTTCAGAATTCTGAACAATTTGCCAGTTAATGGTAGACACTTTTAGGATGCAAAAATGTATTAAAGGGGAGTATAGGTACATGAAATAGGAAAATATGAAAAGCCATCAGAGTTCAACAGAAGAAGAGATGAGAAGTAAACACAAAATGATATAACTATGAAAAATCCCTTGGCTGAAAAGTTTTCAAAATCACCATGCCACTATGATTAAAAATTCATTTTCATACTTATTTTACTACTTGGTAAACGTAGAAACACCTTTAATATTGGAAAGACAAGTGAAAATGAAATATCTCTATTCCTTATGAAAAGAATAGTAAATAAGAACAAGAAAACTAAGACAGAAAGGGAGTTAATTTATGCTTAAAGCCTAAATATGAAGCCTAATTTTATTTACATTTGATAACATGTTACTGTTGATACAAATATTTCAATGCAGATGTCTGTTTAAGCATGGCATGTTCTCCTGTGAGAAAGATGACATGAATTCTAACCTTTTGTTTATCACAGCTAACAAAATAACTACTACAGAAGACCTTTTTCCAGCAATAATTCCTATATTTTGGAAGGCATTTAAAATGTGAAGCTAATTAAGTAAATATCTGTAAATAGTTGCTTTTTCTATTTGCTAAGTCTGTACCTATTTAATATTTGATGATCTACCGTAGTTGAATGAGTTGTAGAGCCTTGATTTGTGACCCAAATTCTTTTCAATTGTCTGTGTGAACCTGCCAACTTGCTTATTTTAATAATCATCATTGATTTGTTAAGATAGATTTTGGCATTCATATTGTCCCTGGATTAGATACTTATGACTGTTGTTACTGATTAGTTGTATTTGGAAGATCATATAGTGAAACAACTCAAGTGAATCAATGATGTTTTACCCACCTTTCAACACTATACCAATAGACATAAACAAAACAAGCAAAAACCAAACCCAATTTTACTACACCTGGGTATTTAAGTCTGGCTGTGCTTACCTTATTGAATACAGGACATTTCCATTTTTGAAAATTCTTAGCAGCTTGTTGTCTGTGGTGACTTCATGGAAGTTAGCCCCCTTCTCATTAGCAAAGAACAAGTCCGGTTTCCAAATGGAGTCCAACATGGACGGGTCAAGGTCTAACGAATCATCAGGATATTCACTGTAGGCAAGACGGGGATCATTCCATTTCTGACGAAGAAAAATATTTACTCTGTAATCCTGAAAGGGGAGAGACAGGAGAGAAATAGAGGGAGGCTTTAAGAAGTGTTGTGTACCAATATCTGTCACTGTCACTTCACCAACTGCAACATGGAGCACTATGTGGAATATGTATCTGATGGAGAAAGCTGTGAAGCTGCATCGATGTAATACTGTTTTATCTGTGTCCTTGGTGACTCTCGAGTCTTCTAATGAAAGATCACAATGGGTGACAGTTCATCACACTGTTTTTTTTTGTTTTTCTTCTTTCAAATTTTACTTTTCTTATTTGTCATATTAAAATATTAGATAGTGACTGGACATTTGAAGCCAAACATCTTCTCCATTACACTTATTTTTAAGAAACATTTCTTCTAGATATCTAATAAGGTTCAGTTATATTTATTATGAAAGCTTTTTGTTCTGCAAAATAATAACATATACTTTTTAGAGTCACAAAATTTTATTTTTACTTTTTGAGGATATGTCTCACTGTGCAGCCTTTGTAGATGGGATTGGAACTCAGCATATAGACAGAAGAGGCTGACCCAGAACTCCTAGACATGTATGTGTCTCTGCCTCCTGAGTGCTGGAATTGAATGTGTGTGCCTCTACACCTGGTATGAAACACTTGTTTATTATTGAATTTTGTTAAATATTAAACTTTGTTTAACATGACAAGTTCTATAAAATAAACAATTTATGAAAATAAAAGATGATTTGTGAATCTTAATAGAATAACAATGGTTAATCCCAGCAATATTTTTAATTGGTATTTCTAGTGACATTTTCCAATTATATTTTTTAAAGATTATTGAAAAAGATTCAATGTTTTTAACCAAAGTTTAACATGGTGTGTAAATGTATGCGCACGTGTGTGTGTGTGTGTGTGTGTGTGTGGTTTGTGCACACATAGTATATAAAATATTTTACAACATATCTTTTTGTTTTGGCTTTTTGAGCCAGGGTCTCAGGTTAGCCTTCCTCTCATTATGTAGCCAAGGATTATCCTGATCTCCTAACCCTTATGTCTCTACCTCTCATATGAGGTACACTACAGGTGTACCTGACCATGCCATACAAGAGGGAGTTTTATTATTAGTTTTCTCCTTACATTTAAAATTTAAAATGGGTAAATCTATGGGCTTCGTTGTATGTGATTTATGCATATGCTTGAAGAAATCTTAGTCTACCTGGAAAATACTGGAGCTATACAGAGAAACTAAAAACCCAATCATTTTCTTATTTCCTTAATATCAAATACGGGAAGTAAGCCATAAAAAGATGCTTCTAAAATCGTACACTTTGTCATTTAGGCAAGTCAAATTCATGCTTTGCCCTGAATATTGAAAACACGATCTGATCAGTATTTCCACACCAATGCTACTTCCCTCCAGCTGCAACTAAGCTTACATACCAGACTTTGCCCCCTCTGCCTGCTAGATGTTTCCATGAATCTTCTGTCTCTTCTTGTGTCTGTACTTGGTCATCTCAAAAAAATATAAGCACCACTAAATGTTTGGCATTTATCAATAAGAATTTATAAATTCTATGAAAATTTTACAAAATCTCTTTTTTTAATATATTAACCCCTTTCTTCAATTCCCCAGTGTTATCCTCCCTCCCTGGACACCAAACTTTGTGTCCTATTATGTTCAGGATTCTTTTTTTCATTTTTTAATTTAAATTAGAAACAAGATTGTTTTAAATGTCAATCCCAGTTACCTCTCCCTCCCCTTCTCCCCTCTTCCCCTGCCCCCAACTACCACCCTACCTATCCCATACCCTTTCTTCTACCCAGGGAGAGTGAAGCTTTCCATGGAGGATCTTCAGAGTCTATCATATCCTTTGGGATAGGGCCTAAGCCCTCCCCCCACCCCGTGTGTCTAGGCTGAGGAAGTATTCCTCTATGTGGAATGGGCTCCCAAAGTCCATTTTTATGCTAGGGATAAGTACTGATCTACTACAAGAGGCCCCATAGATTTCCAAGGTCTCCTCACTGACACCCACATTCATGGGGTCTGCACACGTCCTATGCTGGTTTCTCAGCTATCAGTCTGGGGACTGTGAGCTCCCCCTTGTTCAGGTCAGCAGTTTCTGTGGGTTTCACCAGCTTGGTCTTGATCCTTTTGCTCATTACTCCTCCCTTCCTGCAACTGGATTCCAGTTCAGTTCAGTGTTTAGCTGTGGGTGTCTGCTTCTACTTCCATCAGCTGCTGGATGAAGGCTCTAAGATGACATATACGTTAGTCATCAATCTCATTATCAGGGGAGGGCATTTAAAGTAGCCAATCCACTGTTGCTTAGATTGCTAATTGATGTCATCCGTGTAGATCTCTGGACATTTCCCTAGTGCCCGATTTCTCTTTAAACCTATAATGGCTCCCTCTATTCTTAAAGCCATGAAGTCCAATTCATGTGGCCCATATGTTCTTATAGACTGGGGGGGGGAGGTAGGAAAAATAGGAGGGGAGAAGGAGAGGAGGGAGGAGAACATGAGGGATCAGCAAAGTCAAGTTGGGGGAAGAACAGAGAAGCACAGCAAGGAAAACGACACCTTAATAGAAGGAGTCATTATGGGCTTAACAAGAAATATGGCACTAGGGAAATCTCCACATAAACAGCTGACCTAAGCAAGTGGGAGCTCACGAACACCAGTCTGACAGCTGGGGAACCTGTATAGGACCTAACCAGATGACCTGAATATGAGTGACAGATGGGGGGCGGGCAGTCTACAGAGCCTCTGGCAGTGGAACCAATATTTATCCTAGTGCATGAACTGGCTTTTTGGAGCCCATTCCCTATGGAGGGATACTCTCTCAGTCTAGATGCAAGGGGGAGGGACTATGTCCTGCACCAAATGATGTGACAGACTTTGATAATCCCCCATGGGAGGCCTCACCTTCTCTGAGGAATGGATGGTGGGTGGGATGCAAAGATGGTGGGGTGAATGGGAGGGCTGGAGGGAGAGGAAACTGGGATTGGCATGTAAAACAAAATTGTTTTTAATTTAAGTTAAAAAAATCACAAAAGAACTAAAAGAAAGAAAGAAAGAAAGACAGAAAGAAAAGAAACCTTCTTCTCCCAGTAGCTGAGAATTGCCAGTAGTTAGTTGCTCAGCTAGGGAGGGATTTTGTGTTCGTAGTCCCTTTGCATGGTCTGCCCTGGAATTACACAGATTTTGGTAATTTTTAATATGTTTGTATGTATATATTTGTATTACTTTCAAGATATTTCTGATATTACTATCAATAAATTTATTGTTTTAATAGAAAGGATATGTGATTTGAATAACAATTCAAAATTCGTAGACAAATTGAGAAATAATCCAGAACTCTTCCTGTTTTAAGGCATCCTATCCAAAGTTGCTGTCTAAGTTTAAAAGTGACCAGAAAATTAATTTGTCAAAGAAATAAGAATAAATATAACTCCTCCAACACTCAGCTACTTTAATTTTCTAGACTTTTCCAATTCTGAAGCACTGTACAGAATAAAGAAAGGAGCACTAACACTCAATGATGCTGTAATTGCTTCTTGCACTGTCTCCATAATATCCCCCATGTTGTCTGCACCATCTGCTCAAGGAGCATCCACAGGGAGTGTGGTCGTCTGGGACCACTGATTCTGAAATAATGGCCTAATGGAAAAGCCTGGCTCATTCCTCAGTTACTAAACTGATGGGGAAGAAAGCCATTTCATACAACTATTTGGAGTCTTTGAAAGGTTATTTCAAAACTCCTTCTGAGTTCCTCTTCATAATCCATATGTTTATTCTCTTTGAAAAGGTCAGAATAGTTTTTAAATTACCATAAACTATAAAGGCATATAATTTTGTACCAATTCTGAAAGCAAAAGAAAAGAAATATTGGTTAGAACATAAAATGTGTTAAACTGGCAGAAACCTCTTTGTGTAGTTGAGATTGCAAACCACAGACAAAGAACACATCTCAATCCTTACACTGTAGTGTCCAAATTGCTGAAAAGGCAAACATGTATTCATAAACATTGGTTCAAAATTTGGAAGTTTCTTTCGATAAATAAGTTCGAGCCAGGCATTGGTGGTGCACACCTTTAATCCCAGAACTCGGGAGGCAGAGGCAGGTGAATCTCTGTGAGTTCGAGGCCAGCCTGGTCTCCAGAGTGAGTGCCAGGATAGGCTCCAAAGCTACACAGAGAAACCCTGTCTAGAAAAACAAAAAAAAAGTTCATTTAATTTGGGCAGTCTTAGTTTTGTAGAGAAACACTGGCACACAGTCAGTATTTTTAGTAGCTGCTGGATATCAGTGAAAACCAATAATCACTGTTGCTCTTTGGTTTTGAGGTGAAAGGCCCTCTCTTCATGTATGCACAACAGCAATCCGCATGTTCCCCACTATTTTTTTCTGTTTTCTTCTATCACACATGCCTGCTCACACTCTTATCCATTCCTTTTTTATTTGTACTTTACTTCTTTATGTTGGCTTAGATAAACAGGCAGGCGACATTCTCACAGACATTTGTGTTAATAGACTGGTGAGTAGAATTAAAAACAGTTCAACTTCCCACACTATGTTTCCACCACTTAATTTTATGATACACCAAACAGAAAAACAAAGCAGGAGTCCTCCCAGTTTAGGCATTGTAGACATGAAAATCCTGCCATTACTACTACTTCCCTTCAAAACCCCAGAACTGCATCTGGAATTTTACTCACTCCAACTGAGAACAAGTTATTTTACTTAACTTTATTGTTACTTGATAGGAATCACAAATACATGTTACAATGAATACAACCATCCATGCATGACACTCATTTGACATATGTATTTTACATTATGTGAGCATGATCTGCTTGTCACTTTTTGGCTTCTGTTGAACAATTATCTTTCCTTACCAGAATATATAACTCAAATCATAAAAGTCATTAAACATTTGAGGGGCAATGAAGTCTTCAGGTCTTCAGAGCACATCTTGTTTTCTATAAGCACTAAAAATGGCCTTCACTATTCTTAGAATACTGACAATTCCTTCCAACTCATAGA